AAGTCCTGTGGGGAATAAGGGCAAGAGGAGGAAGGAAATGGAATGTCAGCCCTTTCTTTAGTCACCAAACTCAACAGGCCTCTAGATAAACTGCATCTATAAAAACTGTTTCCCATGCTTAACATAACTACAAAAAACATAGGCTTGACTATCAAGTTGAAATGATGAGGCTATTCAAATTGGATTTGCAATTGTTGTTAACTGTTACCAAGTTGATGTCATGAATGAGAGACCTCCAAGTCACAGCCCTGCTTAGATCTTGCAGACTCATAACCATGGCTTCCTTGATTGTGTCTATCCATCTGGAATGTGGTCTTCTTCTTTTCCTACTGCCTTCTACCTCACAAAGCCTTTTTGTCTTTCCTAGTGAGTCATGTTTTCTTATGATATGTCCCAAATACGTCAGTCTCAGTTTAATCATCTTGGCTTCTAGGGATTGCTCAGGCTTGATATGCTCTAGGAACCATTTATATATCTTTTCAGTAGTCCACAGTATTTGCAATAGAACAAAAGCTTCTCCTCATGATTGTGGTGATGGACTGAATGAGGATGAAGAAACTGAATAGAGAGATGTCCTAAAACAGATCAGTTGTGCAGTAAAAGAACCCTCTGCTTTGCAGTCTGGGTGTATTCAATTCAGACATAAACCTAAATACCCAACTTTTTGGCAATGGTCATAGGTCAACTACGCCCACCTTTGAAGATATCTGATCTGACTATTGTGATCAATGGCTTAAAGCAGTGGTTCTCAACCTGTGGATCCCCAAATATTTTAACCTTAAACTCCCAGAAATCCTAACAGCTGGTAAACTGGTTAGGATTTCTGTGAGTTACAGGCTAAAACACCTGGGGACCCTCAGGTTGAGAACCACTGGGTTAAAAGCCTTTTAGCCTGCCGTAAGTTGCCTTGAAAACATCCTCTGAAAAATGTTCAGAAACTTTAGCTGGATGCTGTGATAGACCAGGCCAGGAGCCCTGGTTACCAAAATTTATGTAACAATTGTGACTCCTTTGCTTCAATTGTTTCACAGATTACCAAGTTGTTTCTCAGCACAATTCAAAGTGTTGGTTGTGGTATACCATTGGCATGTGGAGGATTTGGAATGTAAGACCTCTGCGAAAGTGAAAAACTATAAATTTTTAAAAGCCACATTTTTAACCCAAGACAACACATCTCTAGTTCCTCCAGGAGGACTCTGTGATCAACTTTTGTACAAAGCTGACCACAAAATCATACTAGAGGACTTAGAGATTCCTTGAGTAGTGTTGTATCTAAACACTTCTAGGTCCTCCAGTATGACAGTATTATAAATATCCAGCTGAAACGAAGCATTAGATTACTCTGGAGGACCTAGAGATTCCTAAAAATACCATATTAATTATTCTTTTACTGATCTGTTTTAGGACATCTTTCTATTCAGTTTCTTCATCCACATTCAGTATCTAAAAACATCTAAGTCCTCCAGTATGATAGTATGATAAATATTTTTATGGCTGGAAACCGGGCTGAGTCCCTCAATGAGGTTGAGAAGCTCGGTATAGAAAACTGTGAAATAAATAAATAAATAAATAAATATCCAGATGAAACTAAGCATTAGGTTACTCTGGAGTACCTAGGGATTCCTAACAATAACATATTAATCAAATCCATGAATGATCAAATTCACAAAAGCTGAACCCACAAATATAGAGGGCCAACTGTATAATATTACACAAAGAGATTGCTCCTACTCTGAGATATTGATGTTACATAATTCAATCAGTCAATGTTTCACTGGGCTCTCTGTTCATTTTGGCACCAGCTTACTGGCATGTATATAATCTCACATTGTTGCAGTTGTCTACCATCCACCTCTCCATTGTTTTGTTGCTTCAAAATATGTTTCTCTTTCCAGTCCCCCAGGATTATCTTGGAAAAATGCAACATCTGGGGCATTCCAGAAAGACCAAATGATAGCTGCAGGAGGAATTTATTGAATTACTGTCTTCAAACGTGTGCTGTTGATGAATATTTGACCTCAGTCACATCAGTATTAGTACTTTTAAAGGTACTGCAGAAAAATACATTCAGTAACTATTTCACACTATTCAGTAACTATTACAAAAGGGCAGCCAAGGCTTCCTGAACAGAGTTTCCAAGGCAGTAGTTGGCTCCATACATGCCTTTAATCACCCAGGAAAAAAGAAGCCCTTTCAGCAATAAGACTTGACTGGTATAGACCCTTTTGAAGAAAACTTAGGTGTATTTATTTATCATCTCAGAAGCGGATTGGGGGTACAGATATAATGTATTTAAAAACCCCAAAAAGGTAAACTTGGCATTATACTAAATGTCCTTTGACCAGAAGCTGGCCACTTGGAGTGCCTCTGGTGTCAATGTAAGGAGGTCTTCCATTGTGCATTTGGCAGGGCTCAGACTGTAAACTTTGATCAACGAGCCTCATTATTTATTTATCTATTTATTTGTATACCTCTTTTCTCAGCCCTCAAAGCGGTTAACAGTAGCAAAATTCAATGCTCAAAACATAAAACGGTTAAAAACAATTAAAACAGTAGCATTATTGATTCCGCCTGGTATTCCAAGTAGATGTAAATTCTGGTATTAAGCTGTGTAGGAGTTTAAGTATGTGTAAGGTTGAGTAGCTGATGTAATTTTTTTATGTTATGTTTGAAAATAATTATTTTACATATAACCAATTAGGATGAAGGAAAAGTCTGATACTATAAATATCCTGCCAAAACCCATGTATGTCACTGGATTCTGAGAATTATCTCACAGTTTATGCCAGTCTGTTAGGCCCCTTCTACGCTGCCATATAATTCAAATGATCAAAGCAGATAATCCACATTATCTGCTTTGAACCAGACTATATGAGTCTACACTGCCATATAATCAAGTTCAAAACAGATAATCTGGATTTTAAATGGCAGTGTAGAAGGGGGCAGTGACGGCTGAAATAAAGACTGTTGAGTGAAGCATCCTCAGAGGTTGTGAGGTCTGTTGGAATGCCTGAGGATGCCTGAGGTCTGAGGATGCCTGCCATAGATGTGGGTGAAACATCAGTAAAGAATGCTTCTGGAACATGGCCATACAGCCTGGAAAACTCACAGCAACCCACTGTTGAATAATTTCCTCCTTGGTGTGAAGTCACTGAACAAGCAAACCTGCCTGGTTTAGTGGCAACATCTGCAAGCATCTTCATTGAAAACTGTGCTATAGTTTTGTGACTGAAGGGCGAGTTGCCATGCTATTTGTGTTCCTATTTCCAATTGCTTGTCTGCCCTGGGGCTACTTCAGGAAATTGATTTTAGAATCAAGGTAGTTCTTTCTTATTTTTATTTATAATATTTAAAAAAGTTCAAGTGTTAAACAGTCAAGAGTTCTGACATTCAGACAATCCAGAGCAATTTTTTTTACAATCATCTTTATGACAAATTAGCAGCGTTTCTATTGGACCCTGTTGTGGGTGAGGAACAAAGGGTTTAAAGTACTTTATTGCTAAAAGTTAAATGAAATACACTGGCAATTGTATTTTATCTTCTCAGTCACAGCTTCCCCATGCATCCAATCTACAGTTATCTGAAATGCAAAGGACATGCAGAAGTCAAAAGAGGAAAAGGATGAGGCAGGCCAAGGAGGGCCCCACAAGGAACTGAAAGGAAAGAAGCACTCTCCCTCTTTCCATGGGAATGAGCTTGCCACCTCTACACACAAGGCTGCCTCCAAACTTGTGACTTTGTGGCTTATTGGGTTGTGTCTTTAAAAATTAATAAACAAGAAGTCACTATGAAATGCTGGAATATTACAATAACAACCATCTTTACACAATGCAGCACACAAAGGCATTTCTCTTTGATGTCGCTTTCCATGGGAGGATAGCTGAGGGTGGCGCTAGCGTGCTGGTGACAAATTTATCAGTGATGGAGGAGAAGGGGGGGGGGGTTCATTGATGATGCACTATGGCAGTGGTTCTCAACCAGGGGTCCCCAGATGTTTTTGGCCTTCAACTCCCAGAAATCCTAACAGTTGGTCAACTGGCTGGGATTTCTGGGAGTTGTAGGTAAAAAACATCTGGGGACCCCAGGTTGAGAACCACTGCACGACGGAGACCCTTCACCTGGGCTTTCAAATATGAGCAGTGTCCACACCTCATCTGCAGCACCTTTTATGTCCTGGACCTTCCACTCTGGGGTTCAAGCTGCTTTATGAGCATGCCAGGATCAGTTGCCGGGTTGCAATTTTATTTAAACCTTTATTTATTGTTCCAAAAAATGTGCAGTGGTTGCTCAGAGAGACTCAGGAATAGCTAGTGCTCGACTCCAAACACAGTGCTGAAGCAGTGAAGAAGCGACAGCAATATTGGAACAAATGTTAAGTAATTTATTCATCCAAAATGTTTGATTTCTTTCATTTGTTACCCACACGGTCACAAACTGTTCAGGACAAAAGTCTCCCACTGGATACTCTACCCTATTTATCTATCTCACCCAGTGGTTTTTATAGTTTTATCTTTTGCATTTGGCCCAGCCCGCTGTGTTTAATCCTGTTTATATTCTGTGTTCATTTTATTGTATTATTTTGTTACTGTTTAGTATGTTACTTGATGTTTTGCTTTTATTTGATGTTACTGTTTGTTGTATGTATTTATTTTGCCTTTTGTAATTTTTTGGGCTCGGCCTCATGCTAGCCACCCTGAGTCCCTTCGGGAAGATGGTGGCGGGGTATAAATAAAGTTTAATAATAACAATAACAACAACAAAAACAACAACAACTGGAAAAACTAGCATGATATGAGGATTTAAAGTTCGAACTGCAAAGACTCTGGCACAAGCCAGTCAAGGTGGTCCCAGTGGTAATCGGCACACTGGGTGCAGTGTCTAAAGACACTGACCTGCACTTAAACACAATTGGCACTAACAAAATTACCATCTGCCTGCTGCAGCAGGCCACCTTACTGGGATCTGCATGCATTATTCGCTGATACATCACACAGTCCAATACAATAGCCAGCAGAGTGATCTTGTCTGCTGTGGACTCATCTTGTTGTGTTTCTAATAATAATAATAATAATGATAATGATAATAATAATAATAATAATAATATAATTTGTAAGGGATGTTACTTTTTAAAAAATGAATCTCTTTCTACTTATTTTGTTTATGACTTAAGTTTTACTTACCAGTACAAATTTGCTTTTTTCCTGAAAAGGAAAAGTACTATCGGAAATATTAAGACATATGTCTCGTATATGTGTTTGGAGGGGAGGGAGGGGAAGAAAGAGAGAGAGAAATTAAAGGTGTGGGCAGTGAGCCTAAATACCTTAAAAGGACGAGATTACCAACATCCAGATATCAAGCAATTGAAAAGAGAGTTGCTCAAATGGAAAAGTGCCCATTAAACTATTCCGTAACAAGTTGTTCGGAACGTAAAGCCTATGATCTCAAGAATGCTTCAAACATAATCTTCTGTGTGGATTCTGGCATTAGCATACAGCAAAAGGCACCACGATATTTCTCAATGATTTGTAAGTAGTCAAAAATTGGCCCATCTCTTTTTTTTTCATTTTTTTATTATTTTTTGTTGATTTCTTCTTTTCTCAGAAGCTGTAAATCAAGATGTTACATATAAATAGATTCCTTATAAAAAGGTCTTTGCCATTAGCTATTATAAGACGTCATTGCTAAAATGAAAATAAAACATTTCTTTTGTTATATTTTTTCCCGTTTTTTTATATAAAATAAAAATTTGTCTCTTCTGTTATTGTATCCCCCTCCCCCCCTCCTCAGTCCTGGGGTGCTCATGGGAGTGGGCATGAGGAAGGTGGCATCTAAGGTGGTGCTGAATCTTGGTTGGACCTGGTCCGTGTGAGCCCGCGGTCTCCCTGTGTGCTGCATCTGTCAAAGGAATAGTAAGTCCTGCTGTCAGCCAGTCGGTACAGAGGGGGCGAGTCTGGGTCCATCGCCTCAGCGTTCCGCATACTTAAGAAGGGGGTGCTCTCAGCCACCAGCTCCTCATCAGACTCGCTGTATGAGGCGCTGCTCACTGAAAAGGAATCTCTAAGCATTTTGCCCCTGTGGGACAGGTGCCCATTCAGTTTGGACTTCCTCCACCTCCTGCTGTTGTTGCCTGTTCTCTTTGGCTGTTCTAGCGCAGTGATGTACTCGTGCGTGGTTTCATACTCGTCATCTTCTGTGATGCGAAAGGGACTGGAGGGCAAGCTCCCCGTGCTCTCATTCAGGTAGCTCCTTCTTTGGTAGTAACCGTCGTATCTCTGTATATCTTGAAAAGGGACCTGGTACCTTCGGAGCAATGGCTGCTGCTCCTCCACTTGGAAGCTAATGGATGCTGCGGGCGGCAGGGAGACGGCATGAGCAGAGTTGGGGGAGGTGATCTCGAAAGTAGGCATGTGGGTAGAGGCGGAGTAGTGAAAATCAACAGGCGACAGGCGTGCTGGGGTGGTCAAGGCAGACACGTACCTAGAAGAAGGAAAACAAAGGCACTGGTGTCAAGTTTAAACCTTTATGCCAATCATTTTGCCACGGAGCCCCCGTGCCGCAATGGGTTTATTTATTTATTTATTTATTTACTGCATTTATATGCCGCCCTTCTCACCCCGAAGGGGACTCAGAGTGGCTTACAATATATATTTTCATACAATATATTATATTATTAGCATAGTACAATATCAGTATTATATATTACTATATTTCACTATACCATTATATTGTAATATTATTAGTAAATATATAATTATAATTATAATATTGTACTATTATTACGAGTATTATATTGCATTACATTATATTATTATAAATATTATATGTATATACAATATACTATATTATATTATTAGTAAAAACAAGATGGAAATGTCTTCTGCTCCCCTCTGTCTTCACTCTGGACAGAGCAGCCATTGGTGCCAGAGCGGGGAGCCCCCCCCCCCCAACTGATGATATAGGCAGGTTAAACCCTTGTGCCGGCAGGACTGCTGGCCAAAAGGTCAGCGGTTCGAATCCTGGGAGCGGGATGAGCTCTTGCCTGTCATTTCCAGCTTCCCATGTGGGGACATGAGAGAAACCGCCCACAAGATGGTAAAGCATTCAGGCATCCCCTGGCCAACGTCCTTGTAGATGACCAATTCTTTCACACCAGTAGCGACTTGAAGTTGAAGAAAAGAAATCATGCACACTTTTAAATCAGGAGTTGAACTATATGGCCCATATGATCTCTTCCAACTCTAATATTCTATGACTCTTAAATGTTGCCTGATAATCACCTGCAACTCTTCAAAGTTAGTTTTTTTGCCCGCCACCCCACTTCAAAGATTTTATTATGTCCTCTGGGGAGTATGGGGCAGGCACATCTATCACACATTTAGCCTTCTCCAAGTAAAACAAAGAAGAAGCAAGAAGTGATGTTTCCGGTTATAGACAAACCACAGAGGTCTAACAGTCATTTTGGTATTTTTTTTCCTCCTTAGGTGGGTGTCTACAATATGATACAGTCCTCCAAGGGCAAGGTGCTCCATGGCACGAACAGTTACCCAGCCATGGTTGACTTCTGAATTTACGAAAGTATTTTTCACAGCTGGCTTGCATATTGTGTTCGCTGTGAGACAAAACAAAGTGGTGTTGACGGATCATCGTAGAACCTAAAATCTATCAGCAGGGTAGGAAATTTCTTCTGTGAAAGAAGCATAGTGTTTCTCAAAGCTAGATGTAGATTTTCCCGGTGGGGATTGAATTCTGGCAAGATTTTGGGAATAAGCTGTTTATAGGATGAGGCCTAGGGCCCCCTGGTGGCACAGCAAGTTAAACCGCTGAGCTGCTGAATTTGCTGACTGAAAGGTTGGCGGTTTGAATACAGGGAGCGGAGTGAGCTCCCACTGTTAGGCCCAGCTTCTGCCAACCTAGCAGTTCAAAAACATGCAAATGTGAGACCAATAGGTACCGCTTCTAACTTTTTTTTTTTGGAAGAATTGCTTGGGCAGCCCAATTAAAAGGACTGACTGGTCTCCAGTTGAGGACTATGAAAAGCAAAAGGATTATAAATATTGTGGTTAATTATGGGCTCTTCTCTATAGTGTCTATTAGAAATACATATATCTATATCTATATCTATATCTATATATCTTTTTTTTCTTTCCTACTTTACTATCTCCCAATTGTTCTCCAACTTTCTATGAATAATAGTAAAATGTTATTTCCCCTTTTCAGGACAATAAAAAATTATTTTTTAAAAAGTTACCTTTTCTGTGGGAAGGCAATGGTGTGCCGTGCAGTCATGCTGGCCACATAACCTAGGAGGTGTCTAAGGACAATACCAGCTCTTCATCTTAGAACTGGAGATGAGCACCACCAACCCAGGGTTGGACAGAATTGGACTTAATGTCCGGGGAAACCTTTACTTTTACTATAGGTACATTTTGGACAGTGAATAAAATGTGGGATTTGTATATTCAAAACTAGAGTTTGGTACCTATGAACTCCATAACACCTGATAATCAGAAAAGCCTGAACACGAGACATTTCTGTATCCCTTCTTTCAACTGGGGAATCCAAAGTGTGTCACAAAATAGTTGTGATCCTTTCATTCACAGACACATACAGAATCTGAAAATTGATCTCCCCATAACCTGATTACAGTCAGTCCCTTAGTTACAAATGACTACAGTTAAGAATGGGGATGAGACATCAGGAAGTTAAAGTAATCTACCCCTTGGAAGGAAAATTCATTCCAGAAAGAGTTATCATGGGAAAAAAGATGTCTCAACTGAAGCTTTATCGCCAGTCCTTGTTTCTGCAACAAGCCATATTTTTCAAAATCCAATTCTCATAGGGACAGAAAGTGAGGTGAAATCTTCTGAACAGGGGCACAGACAGCAAAACAAACACCACAGGGGTGTTAGCCCTTCTCTATGCTATCCAAAGCGTGTCTGTGTGTGCACGTCGACATTCACACATGTGTGTATGTATCTGTGTGTGTGTATTGTTGGAGTTACACTTTTAAAATGTACCTGTTCAGACTTACAAACAAATTCAACTTAAGAACAAACCAGCAGAACCAATCTTGTTTGTAACTAGGGGACTGTCTGTACTAGAAAACTTTGAAAGTTGAACATTTAATATAAAATATTCAAAAGGATGGATATGAATTTTTATCCCAACAGAGACAAAATTTCAATTCAAATATCACCAAGCCATGCATGGGCAGTTGGGCTCCTACTGTTCCTTTTTGACACTGAGGCCGCATCTACACTGCCATATAATGCAATTTCATAATATGGTTTAATTGCATTGAATTGCATTATATGAGTCTACACTGCCATATAAAACAGTTCAATGCAGTTCGAGTATTCTGGGGTGGGGCAAGATTTTCAATACTAGCCAGAAATGTATTATTTATACTTACAGGATGAAGCTATTTTTGTGATGACATGCAACACAGATATGTAAAAGGAACAAGAGCTATTGGTTTTCACTCATGTTCTGCTTCTACAGGTGAAAATGCTATCAGTCATCTTCTGTCAAGAAGACCTCTTCCCCTTGAAGCCCTTTGAACCCTTGAATCTTTGCAAGGCATTGAAAGTATCTCTGGAACAGCATCAAAGTGTAACTGTGGGATTGATAGCAAGAAGGGGGTTACCAAAATATTTGTTTTGCCACTTCTACCAAAAGCATCCCATGGTAGCATTTTTTGTGGATAGAAATGAAGGTAGTATAAGCAGAAAATAAAGTTTGCATCCAACTATTAAAACAATATGGTGGAAACAAGGCAAGATGTTCCTAGGTAAAGGTAAAAGTTTCCTCCTGACATTAAGTCCAGTCGTGTCCGACTATGGGAGTTGGTGCTCATTCCCTTTCTAAGCCAAAGAGCTAGCGTTGTCCGTAGACACCTCCAAGGTCATGTGGCCAGCATGACTGCTTGGAGCACTCCTGATAAGAAGAAAAAGGTTTGGAGTTCTCTAAGTGTTTTCTATACATTATTTAACTGTGATTCCAAAAGGATAACCCTACAAAGATACATAATGTTTGTACCTCAGGGTAAAAACCTACTACTTAGTATATCAATACAGCCTGAAGAGCCATCTAGCCATCTTTTTCCTTTCTTCCTCTACTTCTTATCTCTCTTTCTATCAGCCATTCTGGGACACTGGATTTTGTATATCGCCACGAAAGAGAGTTTTCCTCAGACTTTTAGGTCTGCAGAGTGCTATTTATGCTGAAATGACAGTGAAGACACAAAACCATAATGACAGAAAACGAGACCTCTCACTATGCGGCGAGTCTCGAAGGGAATCCACAGAGTCTCTGTATTGCATCGTTGACTTCCTTTGCTCTTCAAGGGAGTAAGCTGCTTCTCGCCGAGCCCGAGCTTCCCGAGCTTCCACGCAGGCAGGACTGTTGCACTTGCTGGTGCCCACTGAAGATAACATAATCCCAGATTGGCAATCCGAAGTCATGCTCTCTGTCCGTTCCAAACTCCAAGTGTGGCTTTCATGTCTGTGGATCAAGAGGAGCAATAAACATATATCGGCCACAATATGGAACAGATCTCACTATGCCATCTTCTTGTATACAAAGCAGGGTTGGACAAAGTGTGGCCTATGAGCCCTATGCAACTCTCCAGGGTCATTTCTGTAGCCCTTATGGCTCCTCGGGGATCAAAACTATGTTTTTGCCCAACAACCATTCCGCTAGCCATTGAATGGGAGGGAGGCAGCCAGCCAGACACAGATTCATCATCTCTCATCCACCAGCTATTGGGGGGTTCTCCCACATCCTATGATTGCCATTCCACTGGCCACTGAGTGGGAGAGAGGGTGGCAGCAAGCCAGATGCAGCTGCATTGTGTGTCATCTTATGTATTACATTTTATTTATCTATGTGGATTATAACCTAAGTGCCTTTGTGGGTCTAAATAAAATAAGTAAATAAATAAAAAATATATACTTTAGGTGGTGTTGATTGCATTTTGACTATGCCTAGAGGCCTCTATGAATCCCCCAGTAGTCAAAAACCGCCACAATTTCAGAGCAAAACACCAATTGTTTTATGTATTGTCAAAGGTTTTCATGGCTGGAATCACTGGGTTGTTGTAGATTTTTCAGGCTATATGGCCATGTTCTAGAAGCATTCTCTCCTGACATTTCACCTGCATCTATAGCAAGCATCTTGCCATGATGCAGATGAAATGTCAGGAGAGAATGCTTCTAGAACATAGTCATATAGCCCAAAAAAATCTACAACAACCCATGGCTATGTTCTAGAAGTATTCTCTCCTGACATTTCACCTGCATCTATGAAAAGCATCTTGCCATAGATGCAGGCAAAATGTCAGGAGAGAATGCTTCTAGAACATGGCCATATAGCCCGAAAAATCTACAACAACCCACCAATTGTTTTGCTCTGAAATGTTCTAAAATATCCACTAGAGGGCATAGGGAACATCTTGTATACCCAATCCCCGGAGATGTTGTTTTCTGAATCACAAGAGATGCCTTTTTCTGAAACATGGTGAAAATGTTTTGGGTTTCAGAGGCATTTGGGGGCAAAAAATGTTGTTTTTTTCTTCCCTGTGCGCAGGTGCCAGCAGAGAGGGCCCCTGCTCCCAGGAAAGTTTCCCTGGAGGGCTAATGTGTCTGTCTAGCCTTCCAAAGTTGCAAACCCTAGATATAGAGTCATACGGAGGGAATTACTCATTAAGCCCAGTTTACCAAATAGAGCCCAGAAAATGGGTTTTCCAAAATGGCATTGAAATTTGTGGGTTGGTGGTTTCACTTAGAATCATAGAATCATAGAGTTGGAAGAGACCTCTTGGGCCATCCGGTCCAACCCCCTGCCAAGAAGCAGGAAAACTGCATTCAAAGAACCTCCGACAGATGGCCATCCAGCCTCTGCTTAAAAGCCTCCAAAGAAGGAGCCTCCACCACACTCCAGGACAGAGAGTTCCACTGCTGAACAGCTCTCACAGTCAGAAAGTTCTTCTTAATGTTCAGATGGTCCCTTTCCCCTCCCAGGGGAAAAAATGTCCCTGTAAGAATTTGCTAGTCATCCAAATTGTGGGTTGTGGCTGGTTGAGAGTCACTTGCATTAAAATCACTACTGACCGAAAGGTCATGAGTTCAAAGCCAGCCCTGGTCGGAGTAAGCTCCCAACCATTTGTCTAGCTTGCTGTCGACCTTTGCAGCCTGAAAGACAGTTGCATCTGTCAAGTAGGAAATGTAGGTATTGCTTATGCGGGGAGGCTAATTTAACTAATTTACAATGCCATAAAACTCTCCAGCAGCAGACAAAAGAATGAGGAAGTACTCCATCAGTGTCACAAGTGGACAGTGAAGCGACAGCTCCCCCCGTGGCCAGAATTCAAAGCATACCCTCATGAAGCTGGAAAGTTAAATAGCCTCTGTGTGTCTGTCTATATATGTTGTGTGTCTATGGCATTGAATGTTTGCCATGTATATGTTTATTGTGAGTCCCCTGCGGGGTGAGAAGGGAGGAATATAAATACCTAAATAAATAAGTGGTTCTATGATATGCCTTCTCTGGAAGTTACCATAGAATCAACCTGGAGATCCTAACACATTTTAGAGAGGATTCTCAAAGGCAGTGGTTCTCAACCTGTGGGTCCCCAGGTGTTTTGGTCTACAACTCCAGAAATCCCAGCCAGTTTACCAGCTGTTAGAATTTCTAGTAATTGAAGGTCAAAACATTTGGGGACCCACAGGTTGAAAACCACTGCTCTAAGGATTTCTCTATCTATCTATCTATCTCAGTGCTTCTCAACCTGTGGGTCCCCAGATATTTTGGCCTTCAACTCCCAGAAATCCTAACAGCTGGTAAACTGGCTGGGATTTCTGGGAGTTGTAGGCCAAAACACCTGGGGACTCACAGGTTGAGAACCACTGATATAGAGGGAAGGTAATTTGATTGTACTTGGTTGTATCTGCAGTTTCACGTGACCATAGTCCACCTGAGAACATATCCTCTACAGCCTAGAGATCAGTAGGTGGCTGAAACTGAGACTTACTAAAGTGTTTAATTTTTATCCAACATACATGTGTTAGCACTTTATACCTTGCAGAGAAACATAGAAATATCCCAGGACCAAAAAGGACACTTCAGTGCAACCATATTGATGTCTCACTTCACTTCACTATTCCATAGCGAGGCAAACATCTCAATACGCCTTCTACAGGAACCCCCAAAGCATTCAAGAATCCCCCCAGATTTCATAGGTTCTTGGGGATGGGCATTCTTTCTCTCCCAGGGAAGTTTCCCACCATGAGACCCAATTTCACCTTGTTTGACCATGACAATGACAATTAATTCCCATGCCACACATAATTGTCCAGAATGCAATATATTAAAAGGATTATAAGCATCTCCAGACAGGTGAGCACTGGCTGCAACTCTGTAGAGACAAAGAGACGGAGGGAGTGAAGAACTAGTACCTTTGGCTTGAGGTTGGAGTCCCTGTTGAGCAGGGGTGTGATGGTGAGCAGGAATGGCTCCCTGAAAAGGTGGTCTCTGTTTCTCTTCGAATGACATGCTCAGTAGCAGGAACATTTTTAGACATATACTGAGGAAGGAACAATAAGCAATCTGAAATCCATTTGACATAACAACATGGCCTTATTTATAGGTCGAATTGTTTCCAATTATAGAAGGAGAAGAATTGGGACAAGCAGCTCAGATTGTCCTAAATATGCTTGACTTTTGTTTTTCGGTTTCAGAACTTCAAATTCATTACACTCTTCAATAATGCTGCTTATGACTGCTTTTTAATAATTACAGCCTTATCATGCTAAATTGTGGTCAGACAATACCACATTGAGCTTCACAAGCCCAGAGGCAAAATGCAGAATATAAAGAAACCAAAAAGTTTATGTCCATATACATGATCAGAAGAGTCAATCCTCAGGTAATTCTGCATTGTTAGGGATGAGACAAGCAAAAGATCTCTTCAAAGATGGTTAAGACTTGTCAAAAGATGAGAGAGGAACTTACTTCTCTTCTAACCACCAAAAATTCCAAAACAAAATGCATCTGGAATTTTCATCTGCTGCTTGACTGAAGCCCATGAGGCCCAAGCACAATGGCTAATAGTCAGGGTGGTGTGAGTTGGAGTCCAACCAACTTCCATAGGTCAGTATGTGGCTGAAACTAAGGGCACTTCCACACAGGGCTTAAACCCAAGATGAAGTGGGTTTAAGAAACCTGCTTCATTGTAGGTTTAAGTCCCCATGCCCAGGCATGTAGCCGGGGGGGGGGGGGAGGGCCCCCCCCCGAAATTCTCATGGTGGTCCGTGAGCATTATTTAAATTGTTATGTTTATTCATATCATGATCTGATCACCATACTCAATATATCCCATATGCATGGGGGTATTGGGGTAATGATACAAAAGGTTTGCTAGGGTAGACCCTCTTTCACTCAGACTAAGCCCCCCCCTGAACCAAACTCAGCCCCCCCCAAAAAAACAAAATCCTGGCTACGGGCCTGTGCTAAGGGTTCCTTTCCCAGGGGGAGGGTGTCCCCATTCCAGCACAGAAACTGCCACGCTGGAATGAGCCACCACCACCCCTCCAAAAAACCCCAAAGGCTTACAAATTTATAAAACCTTACTGGGTCACCAGGAGGGGGCATGAGCAATTTCACCTACACTCTCACACACCTCCTGGTGCATCATTTTTATACAGCAGCCTCATGGTGATCCGGTAAGGTTTTAAATTTTTTAAGGTTTTTTTTGGGGGGGAGGTTGGGGGGGGGTGGATGCCACAACATATTTTTGGGCTCCAGGAACTCAAAAGTAACAAGATGGGTGTGGGGACTGACCCCTGGGCATACTTTCAGGAAGGCCTGTGTCTAATGGGGTATCTAATTGATTCAGGACACAGCAAGGTTTTCCTACTTTGTCCTGAATTAATCCTCTTTTGGACACCTTAGGTAAAAGTCCAACAGGGCCCAGATTTTGGGCCCGATCTGGAAGGGTCTTAAGACTTATTAATGTGTTTAATGTCTATCCAATGTTTTTCCTGAGAACAAGGCTCTCAAACAGCTTACAACATTAAGCAAAAATACAAAGTAAATACATTTAGGAAATTAAAAATATAAGTAGTTATCTAATCAAATTGAAAGCCTCCAATGTAAACGTAACTACTGTAAATGATAGACTTTTAAAAAAATGGAATGTCTTTTAGTGTGTTCTTAGGTATCACTAGAGGAAAGTATCATTAGAGGAAAGAATGCAAGACTTAGAGAAGGGCCAGATCATCACGAGAGAATGCTTCTAGAACATGGCCATATAGTCCGAAAAATCTACAACAACTCAGATCATCATTTCTTTCTCCTTTGTATGCATTAAGACAGTGTTTCTCAATCTTCCTAACGCTGCATCCCCTTCATACAGTTCCTGATGTTGTGGTGACCCCCAACCATAACTTTATTTTCATTGGTACTTCATAGTTGAAATTTTGCTACTGTAATGAATTGTAAATGTAAATATCTGATATTTAGAATGTATTTTCATTCACTTGACCAAATTTGGCACAAATACCCAATATGCCCAAATTTGAATACTGGTGAGGTAGGGGGAGGGGGGTTGATGTTGTTATTTGGGATTTATAGTTAACTTACCATCAAAAAGCATTCTGAACTCCACCAACAATGGAATTGAACCAAACTTGGCACACAGGACTCCCATGACCAACAGAAAATACTGAAAGGTTTGGTGGATATTGACCTTGAGTTTTGGAGCTATAGTTCATCTACATCTAGAGAGTACTGTAGACTCAAACAGTGATGGATCTGGACCAACCTTGGCACGAATGCTCAATGTGTCCTAATGTGAACATAGGTGGAGTTTGTGAAAAATAGACATTGACATTTGGGAATTTTAGGTGCTGGGATTCATAGTTCACCTACAAAGAGCATTCTGAACCCCACCAACAAATTTGGGCCAAATTTGGGCCAAATTTCCCACACAGAACCCCCATGACCGACAGAAAATACTGTGTTTTTTATGGTCTTTGATGACCCCTTTGATACCCCCTTGTGACCCCTCCAGGGGTCCCAACCCCCAGGTTGAGAAACACTCAATTAAGATTTTCCCCCTTCTTTTATCTGCTGCTTTCTCCTCCAGCAAAGTCATGCTACAATAACAGCATCTCTGAAAATGACACTGCCTCCTTGCATAAAAAACGTAACTACCGGCATTGTTTTCATCTTAAAAGCATTCATTCCAGTAATAAAGTGGAGTTAGATTTCTGAGTATGTTTTGGACTAATAGCTGGTAAGCTGGCTGGGATTTCTGGGAGCGGAAGTCCAAAACAACTGGAGGACCAAAGGTTGGGAACCACCATTCTAGGCTGAGTCTTTGTTGTGGCAAGGTGGCAAAGACAGGTAAAGCCTACCATAGTCCTCTGAATGACATTCCCTCTCTGTAGCTGCTATTAGGTTGAATGCATGGCTTGCATTTCAGTTCTTCACAGATGAAAACCTGAAGACATGTGTCCAAGCATCCTCAGAGTGTGGTCACAATAGCAAAGTTTATTAATGACAAGCTAGGGACATTGTGGCATTTTGCTCAAGCAAGATCGCACTCACCCCTTTCCCCTTGCCCTGAGTTAACTAAGTGAAAACTAATTTTGCATTTTGAACTCAGTTTGCAGAAACTGGAGTAAGCTGAAAGCAAAAAAGGAAAATAAAAGGAGAGGGGGGGAAAGCTGCTGAAAAAGTGAAAGGATTCATTGGGACTGCCCTTGGCAAACCGAAAGGTATGGCATGACAGTATCGTTGAACTAAGACCTACAGTTATGGGAAAGGCACATCCCAACGCCCAGGAAACCTTCTTACTTTCATAACATGAACACGTCAAATGCAATGGGATGACTCTAGCAATGTTTCCAAAACAAACATAGCACCAGTCTCGATTTTGACAGGGTCAAAATTCTATTTTATTTCTATCAAGGAATAGTACATGAAATAAGTAAAGGAATGAAAATAATAATAGAAAAATTAAACAGGATAGTGATCCCCAACATCAGACGGAATTGATATTTCTGGAGGGCTACTAGCTTCAGTTTTTCAGGGGCAGTTACTTTAGTACTGGAAATCATGTGGTTTTCAAACAAGAAGAAAGTTGGGCACAGATGGTGATGTTTGTGACCAACATCTACAAGTGTTGTTTACGCTCTCACACTGAGCATCTTAAAAGCATTCATTCCAGTAGTAAAGTGGAGTTAGATTTCTGAGTATGTTTTGGACTAACAGCTGGTAAGCTGGCTGGGATTTCTGGGAGCGGAAGTCCAAAACAACTGGAGGACCAAAGATTGGGAACCCTAGGTAATTTTCAACGGTAAGCAAACAGTATTTTGGCAACCCCACCCCCCCAAACCAATCATTGATATATATTTTCTGTTCGTCATGGGAGTTCTGTGTGCCATATTTGGTTCAATTCCATCATTGGTGGAGTTCAAAATGCTCTTTGATTTTAGGTGAACTATACATCCCAGTAACTACAACTTGTATATGTCAAGGTCTATTTTCCCCCAAGAGCGCCTTAAGAGCGCCCCTGGGCAAAATCAACTATACTGCGAATGCTTACTTTGCGTAATGGGTTGAGCCGCCTCTGCTCACACAGCAGCCTTCTACTTGCAGGGTCCTCCTATCCACTGGCTTGCAACTAATGCATCTAGGCCTCCCTCTCTAGCCCTGTGGTATTGGAGCCTACCCATAAACCACTGCATGAGCAAAACCAAGAAAGACAGAACAGGGGAAGAATGAAGAAGGGAAACTGAAAAGGAAAGAGAGGAAGGGGGGGGGGGCAGAGGAAATGGAAAGAGGCACATTTCCCCTATCCTTTGTTCTGGCCTTCTTCACTCACTGCAATTTTTCAAAAGACCCCACATGATGAAAAAAGAAAAGTTACTTACATCAGCCATCTGAATTTCCTCAGGGTCCAGCCGAGGATGGCTAGGACCATTTGCAAGATTCCTGTTCTGATGGGCTGGACACATATTTTGCCGCATATGATTATGCATTTGATTTCTCTGTTTTCTAAATAATAAGCAAATTAGTAAATATTACTTGCATTCTTTCAGCAATGGGATTCAGACAGGAATAAGGACACTATTTGACTGTTATAGGCCCTTTTGTTGAACTCTCTTCTCAAGGAAAGTGTGGATCCCATTGTATTGGGCGACTCTGGCTGGGAAACTGCCTGTCTTCTTTGCATTTGGGTTTTCTCTCAGCCGTTTGTTTTCTTGTCTTTACCTGGACCTTGAGCTTGGCCAAAATAGGCTTGCCATCAAAGGCTCCTTCTACACTGCTATATAAAATCCAGATTATCTGCTTTGAACTGGATTATATGGCAGTATAGACTCATATAATCCAGTTCAAAGCATATAATGTGGATTATCTGCTTTGATAATCTGGATTATATTGTAGTTTAGTATGGGCCAGAACATATGGTAGTTTAGAATGGGCCTGAGTTGCACAGATGGAATACTTTTTACATCTGTTCTTCTCCTTGTTCTGAAATGTGGGACAATTGTTTTGTGATGAAGAATTAGGCCCCTTCTACAGTGCCATATAATCCATATTATCAAAGTGGATAATTCAAATTATCTGCTTTGAACTGGATTATATGAGTCTACACTACCATATAATCTAGTTCAAAGCAGATAATCTGGATTTTACATACTGGTGTAGAAGGACCTTCAAGACTCTGGCAGATTGAATGGATAATTTTGTTTCTCAATCCCAGCAACAGCCATCTGCTGCAGTTCTCCCTCTTCTGTCACCAAGATTTAGAAGGAAACCACATAAATTCAGACCAATGACCAGAAAAAGCCCTTAAAACAAGTTGGAAGTGCTTGTTTCAAAAGGAGGTTCGCTTGCCTTTCCTGATTCCCAATCAAATATTTAAACCCTCTTAAAGCAAACATTTCTTACAACTTTGCAAATACTTTTAGCTGTTTAGTTTACCACTAAAGTTCATACTGGGAGCAGGCATATACCCTTCAAAGAATGGCTTGTATGCCTCCTTGCCTTCGATCTTTACTTTAGCACACCTTCACCACTATCATTTGGGTTAGTCCCTTTTTACAAACATGTTCCTTTAATGAATCAAGTAATTTACATTAAAATCTTCCTTTTCGTCTATTCTTAAAGGAACATGTTTGTAAAAAGGGACTAACCTTGCTCCTATTTTATCTCATTAGAGTTTTTAAACATTTTATCCTGTACATGTGGCCCGCCCACTGTTACTGTCACTGTGTTTATTGTAATGTTATTTTGTTATTGTATTCATGTGTTTTTGGGGTTTTTTTCTTTTAATGTAATTTTAATGATGTTGCTTGTTGTTTATGTATTGGTTTTATTTTGATGTAATATGTTGTCCGAGCTTGGCCCCATGTAAGCTGCTCCGAGTCCCCATTGGGGAGATGGTGGCGGGGTATAAATATAGTTGTTTATTATTATTATTATTATTATTATTATTATTATTATTATTATTTCTTAGTATAGACTTCACATGGCATGATTAACACAAGAGGGGAAGTTTGGTCTGTTGATATGTGGGAACATGTATCTGAAGGGTAAACTGAGACCCCTTCTATACTGCCATTTAAATCCAGATTATCTGCTTTGAACTGAATTAAATGGCAGTGTAGACTCATATTACCCAGCACGTCAACGTATCAGCCAGCACGTCAACGACTTAAATCTAGAAATAGTTTTCTAAGATCTAAAGAGACACTCACCGGAACACCTCAGCAACCGAGAGTCCAAAAGTGGCAGGCTCAAACCCAGAACCTCAACCAATGGCTGATACCAAATGAGAGACTCCCCGACTGGGCGACTTGGAAGGCGCTGAACAGACTGCGCTCTGGCACCACGAGATGCAGAGCCAACCTTCAGAAATGGGGCTACAAAGTGGAATCCTCGACATACGAGTGTGGAGAAGAGCAAACCACTGACCACCTGCTGCAATGCAACCTGAGCCCTGCCACATGCACAATGGAGGACCTTCTTGCAGCAACACCAGAGGCACTCCAAGTGGCCAGATACTGGTCAAAGGACATTTAATCTACCAAACTCACAATTTTCATATTTTGTCTGGGTTTTTTGTTTTTTGTTTTTTTGCTTTGTTCTGTTAGAAATGTAATATAATCGACTGGTTGCACTGACACGATAGATAAATAAATAACCCAGTTCAAAGCAGACAATGTGGACTGCTTTGATAATCTGGATTATATAGCAGTGTAGAAGGGCCAGAGTGATGCTAGATGTCTATTTGAAAGTTCCCTAGAAGTGCTCAGGAGAGGTGATAAATGACTGCTCCCAAACCAACAGACCCTTTTCCTTCTGTCAGGGTCCTTCCAGACAGGCCCTTTGTCCCAGGATCTGATTCCAGATTTTCTACTTTAAACTGGATTATAGGAGTCCGCACTGCCAGATAATCTGGGATCAGATCCTGGGATAAAGGGCCTGTCTGGTAGGGCCCCTAGCTTCCCCCACGTCTTCATATTTGGGAAAGGCAAATGTCCCATATGTTTCCCTGACTTCCTTTGGAAGTAAAGTAGAATTAGTGGAATTTTTATTGAAATAAGATGGAGCATTTGACTTTATTAAACATTATGGAGGAAGCACCTGATTCACATCTCACCATTACATTACTTCTTGCCATTACAATTTTTGGCAATGACCTGTTGCTCTAATTTCTTTCACCAACTTCATTTCATTATAATCAGTTTTGCTGATGATTTCTTATAATGAATGCTGTTGTTATGATTTAATTTTATGTTCATGTGTTTATCATTTGATCTTTAATACTGTGTATATATTTTTATTAATGTATTTTATTGCATGGATTTTTGCATTTACATTACAATATTTATATTGTTATTATTTATATCCTCCTAGTAATCTTGTGTTATATTATATCCCTGCAGTTGTGTCCTTGTTAGCATTTTTGTGGGTTTGTTTTCACCTGCTGTCCTTGTGTGCATTTCCCCCCAAAGGTTAAGGAAACAGCTATATTCTAAAACTAATAAGCACTAGAACTGTAGGAATGATAAGAGACTTTTAATGTATATACAGGACTGTTTAGTATTAATAAAAGCCACTCACTTGGTTTTACAATAAGCTACCACACACACTATCCCCACCACAAGCAATGCAACACAAATCCCGGTTATGGTTAGCACTCTCTTCTGATACAGCTCCTCAGCTTCTGCAAATAAGATCAAAAGAATGAGCAGTTAAAAATCCATCTCAAATTAGATCTGTGAATGCTGAATGTACAATTACTACCCTTCACATTAGGAATTGGAATCTAATAGGCTATTTTCTTAAGATAACACTTTACATTAGCTACAGCTTCTTTTCTCCAAATGTTCTCTTTATCACTGTCAATTCAAAACAAAAGCAATGAAACCAGACTCTTCCTTTTCAGTAATCTCACTCCATGTTTTCTAATAGTTCCACACATCCCTTCCTTTCCTATCCAACAACTCTGTATAATTTATGCATAGCAGTACAGGTTGAGCACCCTTCATTCAGAAATCTGATTTACACCAGAATCCAAAACATTTTTCCAGCAATCTTTCACTCCCACCTTTGAGGCAGTGTCTACACTACAGAGACATGAGGATCTGTGAAGTGGTGGGAGACATGGAGTCCTGCTGAGCAATACTCCTGAATTCCCACCATTTCACAGATCCTCAGTTTTGCATATCATGCACAACACAAGTAGTGAATGAATGAGACACAAGGCTTGAAGACAAATGTGTGGACATGTGAAATGGTAGGAGTGGTGGCTATTCAAGGTGTATCATTACGTTTATACAAACATCACCAAATCTGAAAAATATCCAAAATATGAAACAGTTCCCAAGCATTTCAGAAAAGGGATAGGCAACCTGTACAGCATCACTTGGTGAGGCCAACTTCTATGCACCTATGTTAACTCTCCTTTAAGTGGCAGAACTAACTGTGACACTTAGGCCGAATCTTCAGACGGAGCACCCAGACACTATACAGAAAAGCCCTAAAATTAAAAATAACTTCCTCGACTGCCATTACTGTGCTGGCAGAGATCTTCTGGAGCATAGAAATGACGTGCCAGGAGAAGCGGGGGTGAGGAGCAATTTTCCTCCTCACCTCCTGGAGTTGAGGAGAGCTCAGCCAGCATGGTAATAGAAGCTGGGTTATTTTTTTAATTTTTAAGGGTCTTTTAAAGGGTTTTTGGTGGGGTGGTTATAGAGCTCTGGGTTTTCTGGGCTGATTCAACCCATAAAACATGAAAGGTCTTTGCCCTAACACAGGACTTCCAAGGGGGCAATCCTAACAGGGCCCATACTTGATCTTTAAGGAAGATCCAGTGCCTAATTAATTTGGGACAAAGCAGGGTTTTCCTGTCGTGTCCTGAATTAATTTGCTTTTTATGTGAGGCATCATGTGGACGCCTCAGGTAAACGTGATGGCCTGTGTTTTGGGCCCTGTGTGGATGGGCCCGCAGAACACCTGGAAAGTGACTATCATCAAATGACACCCAAAAATATCAGTTTCCTGATCTATCCTCTGGAAAAAGAAAAAACAAACAGCAGAGCAACAGAGAGAGAGAGAGAGGATCATGTGAGAGATCATGCAGAAGTCAAGGGGAGCAGAAGAACACAGAGAGTGTACCAACAAGATCTTGCAACTACATTGTTGGTGACAGGGCAAGGGTGCAAGATAGTCTAATCTGAAGGAAGTGAATGGAGACTATACAATGGACTGTCCTGAAGAACTGCATTGGGAGCCACTTCAGTGACCTGAAGTCCCAGGAATAAAATAGTAGTTTATGTTCTTGTCAAACTCTGTATGGCCTTGAGGATAAGCAATAAGCATTACCTTTTGTGTTTGGCCCATGGATGGCTACTAGTAATGCTGAAAATGAGTGGTGCCATTAGAAATCAGGAGAAATACTAGACATTATTTTTCCCAATGCAGAGGTCTGACTTGTGACAGCATCCAATTCAACTTTATCTGGCCATCAATTTAACTTTAATTATCATACTGTATGCCACCTGCCATCTGAAAATTTGTCACATATTTTATTATTTTAGAGCTAAGACAGCTTTCAACAAGACTAAAACAATTTCATCCTAATGACCTAAAGCTAACAAAGTTCAAACAATTAAACAAGATAACATATAAAAGCCACTGATATCAGAAATCATACAATTATATAAAAAAGCACAGCACTAAAGATGAATCTACATTGTACACACCTTTACAAAAATATTCATCACAATTACTTAGCTTCCTGTAGAAAGGAATTGCATAACCTGGGAGCAGCCACCAAGAAGGCTCTCTCCTTCTAAAGTTCTACAAACATACTTGGGTCACTGAATTTACAACTAAGTAGATATGTATAGGAATACACTGCATTTGGAAAACTTCTGGCCTATTTCCTTGCTCATGTCAATTAGAAAAAGCAATATGAGATGTCATCATTCAGCATTATTTAGAGACCAGCAATGACATATATCCAGAATGTTGTGTCTTCTAAATGTTTTCTATGGAGATGAATGGAACCCATGTAAGAGTTTAGTAAAAAAATCCATTTCTCTGCATTTTTCTCTTTCAACTGATAGGGAAATTTATGAGCCCAACTAGCTAAATACAGGTGATGCACAGATCAGGGTCTGGCTTTCTGGAAGGGGAGCCTTAAACTGAAAGATTTCTACCAGTTGTCACTATCAGCATCTGGTATCTGACAGAAGGTGAAATAAAGCTACTTCTGCACCCTAGTAACTGGAGGGTATACAGCTAGATTGCCAGTATTTCCAAAATGTCCTAAACTATTTAGAGCTTGGACTATACCAACCAAATGTACTGATGAATTTGGTGACCCTCCATGGGAGGCGGTTTTTCTTTTAAATTTGATATTTACACAGTGCATTGATATAGGTGCAATATTTTGTTATTTGTTTTTACATAATGAGCATGGACACTGCTTTCTATAAAACAGCTAAGCTCTCAAAAATATTTTTTTACTTTCATTGCCAGGCCTGGCAAAAGCATTAAGATCACAAATATATATTGTGCTATGAAAGTGAGAGTTGCTTACTATAAGCTGAGCTGTAGGTGAAATAAGTAGGGAGACACTACCAACTTAGAAATAAATGAACCCAAACTCTACTTAAAAGTACATTTTCTTCTATCTTACTGTTTAAACCAGTGGTCCCCAACCTTTTTTTAAACCAGGGACCACTTTCCAACTTTAGTACTGAAAGCAGGGCCGTAGCCAGAAATTTTTTTCAGGGAGAGTTGAAAATGGGGGGGGGGGGTTGAAAATTTCAGGGGGGGGGTTAGGGTCATGCTGAAGCAAAGAGCACAGCAGGGGGCAGAGCAGCCTTCAATAGCCTGCAGCTCCGCCCCTGTCAACCACCTCCACCAAGTCTGGCCTCCTTAATGAGAGCATTCAACACCCCCCCCAACTTGGTTGCTTTGCTACATCAGCTATTGCTGCAAGTAATGACAGTGTGAATAAATTGTCAATATTTGCTTGAGATAGTGCTTGCAGTTCTGGAGGGACTCTTAATTTTTTGCGTCTCATAGACTTAGCATGGGGATTTGGTTAACCAGTTAAAATTCATGAGTAAACCAGGTTTTTTAACTTGTTAAAATTCATGAGTAAACCAGTTTTTTTTTTACCTAATTTTTGGGGGGGGGGGAATTGAACCACTAACCACCACCACCCCACCCTCCACCTCCACCCCCCGGCTACAGGCCTGATCAAAAGGGTTACAATCAGTTTTTGGTCAACTTTAGATTCGGTTTGATTATTTGGGGTGCTGATTCAGAACCCTGGAAAGACCACATAAGCATTGGATAGACCACATCAGCTCTAGTTTCTGATACAGAACATATGCTATCTAGTAGTCGCCATGTGCTCACCCACAGAAACCATATTTAATAAGCCTCCGCACTATAAGAGGGTTTTGCAAGATTGGTCACTCTTGTTACAATGATGTAGTAACGGTGAGGCTGTGGACCATATTTTAGTTTTTGCGGACCACTGGTGATCCATGGACCCCAGGTTGGGAACCGCAGGTGTAAACTAAAAAGTTACTCACTATCAGCTGCCACTTCTCCCATTATTCAAGCCACATGACCCCTGTCAGCACCTATATTCTCATTAATTATTGCCATATGAAAGACATGTATGAACCTATGTACCTTACCCTGATTTAGAGTGACAGGAGCATTTGTGTGCTTAAAGCTCTATAGCAGTATTATATGAAATCAAAGATCAGAAAGATGAACAGATTATTGCTTGCACTATAAAAGATTGCTCCCATTTTGCATCTCTCAAAATGAAGTGTCTTTCTGAACAATCTCCTGTACACTTAAAGATAAATCAAGTGTTAAAAAAGATCCCATGACTTCCATCAGAAATAAATGAATGGGAAGAAATGAATTAATGGATTCCAGATGATACTGAACATTTATTCAGGCTATCATTCATACATAACATCCTTCACCCCAACACTGCATTCGGATCGCCGGTGTCTATAAGCAAAATCTTTATCCTCACAAGAAGCTTGATTTAAAACACCACAGAGCATATTGTATACTATCAAGTTATAAAACGTAATTTCTAAATGTCTGACAATCTATTTTTCACAGCTGGAAATACTAAAGTTTCAACAAATAGCAACAAATCTTATTTATGATTAATTGTTGTCGTAAACTACTCTATACATGAAGTTTAGATAGAATTCTTTATGAATGCACCAAAGAATAGCTTTCAGATTGGTGAATATATTCTTTAAACTATTCATGAAAACAAAAGATTCATGGCTGAAGAATTATTTATTTATTTATTACTCTTTACTGATGATATTATAAGACAGAGAACTGTTGAGAATTGGAGACCAAATGAAATGTATCCATTGACATTGAGACAATTTATAAATTGCACATTTATATGGATTTGAACAATGACAGAAAGAACATAAAAGATGGTTAAAATATTTTGAAATTCAGTTAGGTTATAAGAAATTTAGACAGTAGTTTGGTAACACTTTCATTTGATATATAACGAATGAATATATATATATATATATATATATATATATATATATATAGAAATACACATATATATGTATATAGTGAACAACAAACAAATTATCATTCTGTGATAACATGTAAAGAGTAATGCAATGCATGTGTATTAATGTTATCCATGGGATAGGAAATGACATGCAATGTGCAATGGTGAAGAGACAAATGAGTAAGAAATGTTCATTGCATAACAGTGAATCTGGAAATATTTTTTCCTTTTAAAAGGCAACAAAAGATAGAGCTGAGAAGAGATGAAAAACATCTTCAATTCCAAATGATAATTTAAAGCATATTTAAATTGGCAGCACTGGTTTACCAACTCAAGGCCTCTTTCCACAATAAAGTTTTCACTCATAGAAAATCAGTCCAGTCCTACACATGTATATTCAGAAGAAAGTCCCAGTAGTTTCCGAAGGACCTCCTCCCAGGTAAGCGGACTGTGGCCTGAATCTAAGACACAGCTTTCCTTCAGTCCAGTAGTTTAGTCAACTCAAGATTTGGGGTGGGAGGTCATTATTCCATTGAACAGCAACAATAAAAATCAAATGTGGAAAGGATGCCTTTGTTCCCATCACACACACAAAATGAGCCTGATGGGAAGAAATTGAGAACAATCAACTCTTATAGGTTAGTTTGGAATCATCATGACTAAAGACTGGATGATTTTGGAGGAAATTGTAAACGGAAACAAACACTCCATAAGGATTTGGTTGGTTCCAAGTAGTCTTGTATTCTGTCCTCAAAAACACCTACCTTCCTTCCTTCCTTCCTTCCTTCCTTCCTTCCTTCCTTCCTTCCTTCCTTCCTAATGACTTCCTAAGGACTTTCTCTACTTGTCTTTCCTTCTGAAGTTCTCCCCCTCACGGCTCCAAAAACCTGTGACTCCACTTTAACTGCCACAGTTGCAACCTATGGGATCTTAGGATTTTATAGTTTGGTCATAAGCACTAGAGCTCTGTGAGAAAAAGCACCCCATGAAATTACAAAATCTAGACCAGTAATTCTCAACTTGTGGGTCCCCAGATGTTTTGACCTTCAACTCCCAGAAATCCTAACAGCTGATAAACTGGCTGGGATTTCTGGGAGTTGTGGGCCAAAACACCTGGGGACCCACAAGTTGAGAACCACTGATCAAGACTTTTGTGGGATAGAGTCACTGTATTTCAAGTGTTATCAAAGTGCTGGAATTCAGAAAAGAAGAGAAATACGAGTTTACCTACCATGTTTTCAGGGCCTTTATACAGTTGCTACAACTTTGAATTTTCTTTAATACCAGCCTATTCTTTACTGGAGTGTTTGTTGACTTTGACTTTGGCATAAAGTAGTGACATTCCAAACTGACCTCCCCATCTTTTCAGTTTCCAAACAAAATAGAGAAGTTAGAAGTGGTGAGTCTAATTTCACTTGAGCTAGCTTGTCAAGGTAATCAAGAACAGTAGAAAAGTGCTGCACACAAAGAGCTTGTGTAACGGATATGCATATTTTAACAACTAATCTAAATATTACAAATAATGTAAATGTAGGGCATTGTTGTCTTCATTATGCGAGTTAAGAAACAAGATAGCCATCCTATTTAAAGCGGAATATATGTAATGTGAAGGATTATGGGTAGGTTTTAATGGTGTCTGATTAAGAAATGAATGGTTTATTCCATACCCTTTAATTCTAATCCAAGATGCTCTGCCAGTGCAAAAAAGGAACAAATAAGAAAAAGAGAAAAGAGAAACAAATTTTATAAAAGAGAGGATTTCAAATATTAAGTTAACACAAACAGTAGAGCAGTAAGAATAGCTTTATGTTTTCAGTTCACAGAAGCAGTAAGAAAGAAAATACTAAATACTACATACTGATCACAAATACTAAAAAGGCCAGTACCACCAAATATAAACAGATATCTAGTAAGGGAATTAGGACTTCCTCAAGAAGAGGGATGTCTGTTAATATTGTATGGATGGGCGTGGCAATCAGAAATATTAAATGGACACCTTCTGAAGGACCAGAGGATAGCTGGATATACAATTATATCTATAGCAGCATGAAACTCATGGAAGACACATTTTAACCAAGTCTTCAGAACGTTACTTAAAAGCAAGTCCTTCTGAAATCAAGATGAAATCAAGCTAGTAGGGCTGTGCGATAGATGAAAAAAAAAGTTTCAAAACTCTTTACAAAATTAGGGGGTGCCAGCATTTCATTTCTAAAGCATTTCTAAAGTATCATTAGTGAAAATTTTATTACTATAACGAGAGGCCAGGGACCAGAAGTGGGGTAAATGCGCAGCTTGCTACTGGGGAGGGAAGACAAACTGCGAGATTGTAAAACTTGCACCAGACATACGAAAATAATTACAAAAATTGGAAAAATTGTTTCTTAATTACTCCTCACACTATTCCTGCATGGCTCGATATTGGATCGTAAGCTAATTTAAATACGAATTCATAACGATTTTAGAAACTAACGAACACGATCAAACAAGCCTACCATATAGCCCGAAAAACCTATAACAACCCAAAAAAGAAGGTTTTCAAGAGCTGACTGCCAGGCAAACAAAACTTGCTATTAAATCCTCAAAGTCTGCAGTTTGTAACAGTGGTAAAACGAACAGAATTAAATTAGACTTGGCAAAACAAGAGTGAACAACACCTCAGAATTTAGGTTCTGCCAAGGAGAATGAAAGCTAATCGCTTTACTATTTCGTTTTCCCTTCAGACAAAATCAAGAGGAAGGAAATGTCTTCCAGGAATAGAAAGTTAATCCTGGCAATGATAATCAAGGCGGAGTCACAATCAGAAACCTGTCCTAATCTAACACTAAATTCAGAAGCTCCCCCCTTCACACCTTTTTGTAATTTGGTGGAGGTCTCACAGGGTCAAGTAACAGCTGCTCTGGAGCTTTTTTTTCTTTTCTTTTCTTTTCTTTTCTTTTCTTTTCTTTTCCCAACAGATCAGGATTTTTTAACCATTCTATACTCAAACCAGGAACAACACGGCAAGAACATACATTTCCTGAGTAAAGGGTTGTTGCACTTAAAACAAAGGTAACATTCTTAGTTTTCAATAAAATGCAACAAACAATTCTTTGTTTTCCACACCAGGGATTCCTAGGCCTATATCCAATTGCAAGTCCCAATCAGAGTTGCATCACTGGATTATGCAAGGGTTAGTTCAATGGGTTTATTGTAACTGGGACTAACAACTGGATCTACAGGCTCATCTACATGGGTCAAATGCAGTGGGACAGGAGTGAACAGATTTTGTGATATCCATATGATGCACAGATGTCCCCCTCCTGCCTTTGTCTTAGTGGCAACTATTGGGTGCAAAACTACTGATGGTCATCACTCATCACATCTACTCAGGAGGGGATGATGCCTTCTTTCCCCCCCACTTCTCCCACTTCGCACTGGCATTCTGTCTCCCTCTTGCCTATGATATTCTATTAGACCATAATAATAATAATAATAATAATAATAATAATAATAATAATAATAATATCAAGACAAATATCAGGGGGACTGCATGACAGAAGGAACTCAAGCCCACCAAGCAAAATGCATCTAGTTTCTTCTTTGCTCTTCTCCTATTTGCACATGGGGAAAAGTTCTCAAGTTTTCTAATCCTTTTCTGTCTCTCCAATCAATGCAATTCATGATTTTGAAAAATATATATACCTAATTATTACATTATACAGTCTATATTGCAACTTAACATATAGTGTGTATTTTGTTTTAATTCTCCAGGTGTATTTTTTTTATTTGTTTCCGATCAATCATAGATTCACTTAGTTTTCAGTCAGTGCTAAAATAGGATTGCTGTAAGGCACTTCAAGTATATCCATAATGGATGATACAGTATGCTTTACATTATTCCTTAAAGGTAAAGGTTTCCTCTTGACATTAAGTCTAGTTGTGTCCGATTCTGGAGGGTGGTGCTCATCTCCATTTCTAAGCCATTAGACATTTCCAAGGTCATGCGCTGTAACCTTCCCGCAGAAGTGGTACCTATTAATCTACTCACACTTGCATGTTTTCAAACTCTAGGTTGGCAGAAGCTGGAGCTAACACTAGGAGCTCTCCCCATTCCCTGGATTCAAACTACCAACCTTTCAGACAGCAAGTTCAGCAGTTCAGTGGTTTAACCCGCGGCGCCAATAAAAAAATAAATGGAGGTCCTTGCAAAGAAGGACCTCATCACATTAAGGCTGGGATTTATCCCACAATGTGGTGAATCTGGCGGGGCCCAATGTGGGGAACTCATCACCTCATGCTCCGCATCACCCGAATGACTGTATACTAGCCTGTCTGAGCCAAGTGCCACTTCCTGTTTCCCTTGCCTCGCCAATGAGGCCATTGAACTAATAAAAAACATTCAAGGGGACAAGATGCCATTCTGGTTGAGACAGAAACAAAATATTGTGCATGAAGAGGAAAATCTTTTTAAAATTCAACGAAAAAAAAATTCCCCAAAATTGAGACTTCAAAACGGGGTGCACCTTACATTCAATTGCACCTTAGATTTGAAAAAATACTACAGTATGGGTTTCTGTCACATTTTAGCTAATCCACAATTATTATTATTATTATTATTATTATTATTTTGTTGTGTCAGAAGTGAAGTTGCTTCTGGTGTGAGAGAATTGACCGTCTGCAAGGACGTTGCCCAGGGGACGCCTGGATGATTTGATGTTTTTATCATCCTTGTGGGAGGCTTCTCTCATGTCCCCGCATGAGGAGCTGGAGCTGATAGAGGGAGCTCATTAGCCTCTCCCCGGATTTGAACTTGTGACCAGTCGGTCTTCAGTCCTGCCGGCACAGGGGTTTAACCCACTGCGCCACCGGGGGCTCCACAAATTATTCTTCTTTATTTCTATTTCTTCCCACATTTAGTGCTGTAACAATATGAAATATAAACAGCTGCAACCACATATGAAAGATACTGCTTATTGTTTATTATCTCTAGATTTTAGCAAGCAACTTTGCATTACGAAATAAATACTTCTTCTGACTATAATTCAAAAGTCTTAAACTGGGAGTGAGCAACTGCACAGGAAGCAGTGATCCCTCTTCCCATGCAGTGTATCAATTTTAACCAATTCATGGTAGAAATTAAGGAATGGGACTGGGTTGAATTTCTAGGAAATGGGAGACCACACACTTTTGTAACCATATTTGCAAGTGGAGTTGGTGCTGTTCCCTTACCCAGGTGGACTCCAAAAGGGGGTCAATACAGAGAAAGATGTCCGTTTTACGGAGGGGGGGAGTTGGAGGAGGAAAACTATTTCCCCTGTTTTCACTGGTTATCCCCTGCACACACTTCCCATGTCATAAATGACAGTTGTTTCAACGACAGCAACAAAGGTGGGGGGAATAACAGGAAAACATGGGGAAATGGTTTAACTCCTTCGAAACTGCCCCCCTGTAAAATGGACTCTCCTCTGTCTAGACTCCCTTTTGGCCTCCACCTGGATAATGGAATTTTGGAGCCCCTGGTGGCGCAGCGGGTTAAACCGCTGAGCTGCAGAACTTGCTGACTGAAAGGTCAGTGGTTAAAATCCAGGATGTGGGATGAGCTCCCGCTGTTAGCCCCAGCTTCTGCCAGCCTAGCAGTTCAAAAACATGCAAATGTGAGTAGATCAATAGGTACCACTTCTGCAGGAAGGTAACTGCACATGACTTGGAGGTGTCTAAGGACAATGCCGGCTCTTTGGCTTAGAAATGGAGATGAGCACCACCCCCAGAGTTGGACACAACAGCACTCCATGTAGTCATGCTGGCCACATGACCTTGGAGGCATCTACGGACAATGCCGGCTCTTCAGCTTAGAAATGGAGATGAGCACCATCCCACAGAGTGGGACGCAACTAGACTTAATGTCAGGGGGAAACCTTTACCTTTACTGTGGAATTTAATGGTTGCAGAAGTTTGTGAACAGAAGATAATCCAGAATTGCTCCAGTTTTGTCTTTACATTTAGTGGGTTTCATAGGGCTTTGGGTAGCTACTGGGGAGTGGGGGCTTTAAGGGAATACAAGTGGGACTCAGAGGTGAAGCCCATCACTGCACCTCCTCGACTTCATCTTAAGCATTGTTTTTATTTTTACTCACAAGTCAAATTCTAGTCAGATAAGAACAAATGCTGTATCTTTATATGGGAAAACCATAACACTACATTTGGTCACCTGCTCTCTATCATTTTTAAAGATGATTTTTCCCTTCATTTCAGTACTGTCTTCTACACTTGGTTCTTAGTTTAATTTTTGATGTCACCTAAGTCTTTTATTCATAATTTCAACGAGTATGTATATTCCCCTAATTGTCTGTAGAAGCTAGTAACGGTGCATTAAAGAGCAAATATTCCCGAACGTTAGTTTTCTCTTCTCTAAAAGCAAGCAAGCAAGCAAGGCACATATTGGAACAGTAGCAGCTGATATTTTTCAATAATTCATGACACTCTCTAAAAGAGAGCCCTGTGGTCCCTTAACAAAGTTATTACAGCATGAGCTTCTATGAATTGCAGCCCATTTCGAAAACTGTGGTCATCGGGTAATAAGGCATGTGAGACTTCCTGGGCAAGGTTTAGTTTACTTCTATACTCCTCCCCCTAAACACCATTAGTAAAAGAGTGTTGCATTGCAGTAAAATTTGCCAGGTATGCAAAGCTTGCAGAACATTTTATTTATTTACACTCAGGGATTTTTGTCCCCCAAGTCTAATAAAATTAGTATTACTTCACTGCGCACAAGGGCAGGAGCAGTGTTAGGCCATATCCTGGAACTTGTTACTGTAATTCTGTGTATGCAACCCCACTTGGTTGCTTGTCCATAGATTTATATAGTCAACAGTATGATTAACAGTACCGCCAATTAATCAGTTTAGCCTTGGGCAGGAGCCACCATAGTAACTCTATTAATCTTCATTTTATTGCACAGAAATGGCTGGATTATGCTGAAGAACTATGGAGGAACAAATGCACCAATTCTAACAGGAGGAAATGAAAGGTACTAGAGGAAATGTGATAAATGCCACCATTTCATCAACGCTTTCTTCAGAAATATAGAGAGTCTTGGTTCCCAAATAAAAGCTAAACCAAGGTCATAACTAAATACTTCATCACACTAGAGAATGAATCCACTTTAAATCTGGTTGGTGCCTCCTGCAGAATTCTGCGGTTTGAAGTTTAGGGAAGAGCCTTTAACAGCTTCACTAAACTACAAACCCCAGAATTCTGCAAGAGGCAGAAACCAGATTTAAAGTGGATTCATTCCCTCAAACTTTTAAAAAGAGGGCCAGGTCACAGTCTCTCAAACTGTTGGAGGGCCGGATTATAATTTGAAAAAAACATGAATGAATTCCTATGCACATTGCACGTATCTTATTTGTAGTGCAAAAAAACTTAAAAAGAATACAATAATTAAAATAAAGAACAATTTCAATAAATATAAACTTATTAGTATTTCAATGGAGGTTTAGGACTGCTTTTGGCTGATGAGATAGGATTGTTGTTGTTATTGTTGTTGTTGTGTGCTTTCAAGTTGTTTCAGACTTAGGTTGATCCTGAGTGAGTAAATGATCTTGGAGGGCTGTATCTGGCCCGTGGGCCTTAGTTTGAGGACCCCTGCTCTAGTGTGATGAGTAAAAACCTATGTTACCTCTGAAAAGTCTGAGCTGTGGCTTACTAGGTCTGCATATAAATTAAGGGAGCATGTTTCATTAAATCTCCTTCTTAACATCCTGTGCTACAGGAGGAACAGTGTGGAGCAGGGAGAATTAGTAAAGCCACACTTTGGAGTCAGAATTACTAATAGGCCTTTACCATTAACACAAAATTCCATCACACAGACCTTAGATTTGCAGCTGTAGTCCAAGGGCATACTATTACAACTGTGTTGCTTAATTCCATGGATATGACAATGATCTTAACAAATCAGTCAGCAGCCCTAGACAATTTACCTCTTTTTAAAGTTTAGAGCTTCAAATTCCTTGTGGAGGGGATGCAATATTAAGGGCAACTCATAAATAAACAAGTCTCACCCCCCTTACATTGGTTTGCCTGAACTATAAATCCAAATGAGTTCTGTTTAGATTAACATCGTCACCAATAACCATTCAAACAAATAGCAAAAGATGGAAAGCTCCAAATAGGGAAAGAGTTGCTTTCAAGGTGTCCCGTAGCGTGCCTCGACAAATCACAGAAAGAGAGAACTGGAAAGAGACATACTGGAGAAGCTGGCCATTGCGGAGTTCTGACACTGGTCCCCTGTGAATTCATTCGGACACCTAACAAAAGAAAAGAAAACCAGAAAGAGAGAAAGAAGATAGCATGATATCGAAACAGATCGAAAAGAGGGCGTTCTGATGCCAGCTTAGCTCCTTCTCAAGACTCTTGATGTGCTTTTGGCTGGTCCCTTACCTGCGTTACCTAAACCTTAGCCCAGATATTAACTCAAAAGAATACCCTCACTATATGCCATTCTAAATCCAGCACTGTACCCAGGAGTTTTTAAGTAATATGGTGCAATTTTTGTCTTCAAACATACTTTGCTTAGGATCTGGCATGTACAATCGCAAAGGCAGTTTCTCCAAACATCTCTGTCCGAAGAATCCATTTGGACATCTGGAGAAGGAAAAGGGGACAAATCACAGAACAAGGCTGGCATCATCCTTGAGGCTATGGTTAGAAATAAAAAGAAATGCACAGCGATGAATTAAAAAAAATAAAGCATCTAATGTAAGATAGCTGGATTTAAGCTTTACTATGTGAAAAGGGGGTGTTCCTAAATTCTTTTCTGTGCAATTGATCCAACCCTCCTCCATGCATTTTCAGCCTGTAACTTTCAATACCCACACACTTGGGTCATCAATGTCCTTAAAAGAAATAGGACTACTATCCTGTATTTAGGCTCGCTTTCCCAGTCTTGGCACCCACCATGAACTGACATGGAATGGGGAGAATTTTCACCCAACACAACCAGAAGTTGCTATGGCTGGGGTAGGTGGGTGTATGAATTTAAATATTCCCAAATTCTAGATAGGTAATACAGGGACACAGAGTAGTGTTGGTTGCCATTTTCCATTTCTCAGCAAATTCATGTTTGGTGTACTCATGTCCTTTGGGGCTGCCAGTTTTTCACTCAGATTGTTTGATGATGGATACCAGATCAGTTGGCAAAAGAGGTAAATGTAAATACATTATGCCAATCAATGACACAGAACTAAATGTTACTTTTGGATCACTACCTTTAAAAATGGCACAAATAAGCCACAAAGTCAGCAGCAATCTTCTTTGGCCCAAAATGATGTGATCAGAAGGGGCTCTGGGTATTTTTAGTAGGAATATCATCTAACCTTAAAGCTGCAATCCTGTGCACTGTTATTGGGGAATAAACCACATTCTAATCAGTATAACTTCTGAGTAAATATGCATAGGATTGCACTGCATGGCATTGATACCTGTTAAAAGTTGTCCCTTGGCTAGTAGAAAATCCTCCTGTAGCCAGGCTAAGGGATGCTAAGCCACTGCTGGAAAAGGAATGGGCCTGATATCATGAGCTGGCCCACTGCTGAGCAAATCTGCATATACTAAAGCACATTCTATTTCCTTTCAGTACAATTTGAAGACGAACAACAACAAACAAAACAAAAAAGAAGAAGGTACTACCCTTCATTTTCTTGCTTTTTCTTCTAACCAGCCACATAGCGTACACTATCCTATGTTCTTCTGAGATGGGAGAATATATAATGAGTGTTGGTTTTATTGACGGGTCTATGGACCATAATAAAATTAACTAACGTACTATGTTCTTTAATTTGGGATTGCAGATTATTTTCTTCAAGTTATATCGTATCCGCTCTTACCATGAGAAAGATCAGCTGCAGCTACAAATTGCATCCTAGCTGAAAAGTCAAAAATTCTAGCTTCCACCACGGATTAAACTGAACTGACACATTCTGTGCAACAAAATCCAATGGAGTGGCACATTTATTTTGAATAGCTTTGTTACCACCTTTAGAACAAATTAGATCATTGAATGAAGTGTGATATGTTGTTAATTGCAGACATTACAATGTGGATCCAAATTCACATCTTTCTCTTTTTTTCAGTGAATACAGACCAGTGGTTCTCAACCTGTGGGTCCTCAGGTGTTTTGGCCTACAACTCCTAGAAACCCCAGCCAGTTTACCAGCTGTTAGGATTTCTGAGAGTTGAAGGCCAAAACATCTGGGGACCCACAGATTAAGAACCACTCATATAGACCAAATTCAAATGCATAAAAGCCAATATTTATCTTAGGATCTCATCTTACACATTCTGGGGTCCCACGGTGGCCATCACATGATGTAAAGGCACTTCCAGTGGAAATCTGTGGGACTCCATTTCCACAGTGCATGGAACCAGAGCCCTAAAGTGGGGAAAAGATGGACCTCAATGGGGAAAGGACATGGGATGGCTGGCCATCTCAGAAGACGGACCTCAAAAGGAGAAAATGGCATGACAATTCCCTCTGATCCCTGCTCATGGGATGTCATTGGTGTTCCATGAATCCATGAGGGAAAAGCAGTCACAGAAAAGACAAGCAGCTCAGATCAACCATCTTAGCCTTTCTGTGAAATCTGCCTCAAGTTTCCAGCTGGGTAAGTTCTAAGAACCCACCTTTCCATTGGCATAGTAAATCAATAGAAAAGAGTGAAGGTTGGGACCCTCTTCAATTTAAGATGTTTTTTACCTTTCAAAATAAATCTGTTTAAATTTGGCTAGAAGATTTATTTTTAAATCTAATCAACAAGCTTCTCCGTGTTGCCAAAAATGAGACCACTTTTTATTCTTGCAGAGGAGAAGACTGATCCAGTTTAACAGTACTGTTATTAATAATTGTATGACATTTCATAACAAACCCAGATAAAGTTGAAATACTCAGGATTATAAAGATTTTAACCAAAATCCTAACAAAACAAAAAATGAAAAACAGTTTACATTCCAAAGCAGAGATAATGTCAATGTCAATATGCAACTAATTTATGCTCTCTGCTGGTGGGTAAGAAAACTATTTAATCCCTCTGTAGTTTATGAAAAACACTGAAAAATGGTGCATCTAGCTTTGTTATTGGAACTTTAAAAAGAGCTTTCTCAAACCGAAATGAGAATTAAGCAGGACCTTAAACATATAATAACAGAATCCAAATAAATTTTAACAGGCAGAAAACAAATTACAAAGAAAAGGAAAGAAAAAGGGGGGAAAGAGAAGGAGAAAATATAGTACAACAGATTGATAAAAATTATCAACCCAAAATGGAAAAAGACAACAATAACACCAATAAACAACCAAGAAACTAGAAGGGGGAAAAACAAGCAGATTCTCATAAACAGACTGTGTAGATGTGATTGAGGCAGGGAAGTGGATACAAACTTATCTTCAAGTGGAGGAAAAACAAAGAATTTCACAAAGAATCACAGGAAAAACCTGTTTAAGCTTCAAGTTCTCAAACCAACAAGAAAAGTCTGCATGAACTATAAGAGAGCCCATTCCAATGGGAGAAACATGTTAAACACAGATTTTGTTATTTGAAGGATTGCCTGCTGTACAACTAAAACATTAAGAATGGACTGAGATAAACAAACTGAGAACTCTGGAAGAATAAAAATAAAATGAAAACCTTTTTAGTGTCATGGGTGGACTGGTGAAATAAGAACATTGAGAACCAAGGGGGAAATACAGTATTACTATATAGGGGGAAAGTGCTGAAATGTGGTAAAATGAATCTAGATTAAAAGGGGGAAATGGCGGAAGATTAAGAGAATATTCGAAAATATTTGCATATTTTCGAACTACTAGGTTGGCAGAAGCTGGGGCTAACAGCAGGAACTCACGCTGCTCCCTGGATTCAAATCTGTGACCTTTCAGTCAGCAAGTTCAGCAGCTCAGCGGTTTAACCCACTGCGCCACTGGAGGCTACAGTCTGGGGAAAAAGTTGTTTTGGATTACAAATCCTAGGGGTCTATCATCATCCATGTTGACTGGTGGATTGCAGTTCAAGAAGTAACTTCTCCAAAGTGTGTTCCCGAACTAGTCATGTCAGCATTTCAGTCATAATCATGAAACGAATAGGAATGACTTCAGAAAACAGCATGACTAATTGGATTTGGCAATATAATGATGCTACTACAAAACAGATGCAGTCAACAGTTCAAGACAGAGAAACCAAATGTGCTAGAACAGAGGTACTGAAAAGCACCCCTAAAAAATAAACTTCTTTAAAAATTCTGAAGCAAGTGTTTTCCATACACAAACAAAATTCACAATAAAACCAGACTCCTGAAAGTATTGGTGATTGTAGGTGGAAAGGAAATAGTGAATTGTGAGAGAAGAAATATTTAATTTCAAAGTAGAATTACAAAATTTAAATTATTTCTCGCTAGTAAGAGAAACACCCGTAAGAGAAAGTCTATTTTGTCCCCAGGCACTGGTCTAAAAACAAGGAACCAATGGGACCTTTTTCTTTATTCCTCTACCCTCCAAAAAGGAACACCGCACACACTGCCACAGAGGCAAGAATAACAATGCAGTCATATTCACTAGCCAGAGAAAGAGAGGTTATGGAGAGATTGTGTCTCAAAGGGTTTGTTCCTTTTTCTATGTTAGACATTTTAAATCTCTGTAACTGGCACAAAGTCTTTCATATGAAGAGGAATACAAACTGAATGGTGTTTGGCTGACTGGACTGAAGTGGTAGTCACTGAGCATACTGAAATCCCCAAAGCCATGAAGATCAATATTATCAGCTAGGGATGCTAAGTGGATGATTCAAGGGTATTATTCTATGATAACAAGGATTATTTTGGCATTTAACTCAAATGTCTTATGCTAAACTTTGTGGGCCTGCATACTATCAATGTGTGGGTCAGAAGTGGGAAGAAACATCTTGCATATTCACACACATACATGTACACACAGACAACATACACGTACTTACAGGACTCTGTGTGGAGGCGGAGGGGGGGAAGAATGAGAACTTCCATGTTAATGAAGTGGCAAATTTGCTCTGAGGTTTATTCTGACCTTCAGAGGAATGAGGAAATATGATCCAGCACCTTGAATGGTTATTGCAAAGATCAGAATAAAATCCATAGAAGATTCACCACCCCACTGACATAAAAGCCACCTGATACCATGGTTACTTTCATCTGTGGATAACCAAGAGGCCCTCGTCCTTCTGTCCATTATTAATAACTTTTAAGAACTTCACTGCAATTTTCACTGCCTTTCTTCACATTAAATCAA